TTAAAAATGATTGTTGTAAATGTTTATAATAAAAAAAAAAATTTATTTTACCATAACTTTTAGCTCAATTGGTAAGTTTGACATTGACATAATTAAATAGAAAATTTTATGACAATTAAAAAAATTGTATCGTTAAGATCAATATGCAGTCAGAAAGTTTTATAATTACTATTTATTGTAAATTTATCAGAAAAGCTCAATATTTTTTTGCATTTTTATGGTAATAGATAACTTAAATAGAAGTAATAGTAATAATTTCCTAGGAACTTTTGTTGTTTGTTGAAAAGATTCTATAATTGAAATATTGAGAACTTAATTAATTTTAATGATTTACTTTAACTAAATGTACCAATCAAAACAAAGTTGTTAAAAAGATTTACTCAATTGAGTGTATTATAAAATTTGATTATATTTGTAAAAATCAATTGTTAATTCAGGAGAAAAAACAATCATTTTTTTTAGAAATGATTTATATAGCAACATGTTACAAAAAAAAATTGTAATATTATAGTCTAGTAGTAGCACACACAAATAGAGTAAAAAAATTATTAAATTACAAAGTAAAATGATTTAATTTTGTAGTTGAAACCTATCATATCAAACTTCATTCGTTAATAAATATTTTGAAAACATTAGAAATTAATGATTTTAATTGTCTTTATGGAGAACATGGAATAACTAACTGTTTAATTGATAAATTAAAATTTTTTTTTAATTTTTGAGGGTTACTAGATACGAATTGTAGTCATTTGACGTATCGTTGAAAAAAGTAGGTCAAGTTAGAGCAGAGAAAATAAATGATATTCACAAAAAAATATCTTCTCAGCTTTGCATCGAAGCTAAAACTTAAAATATAGTAAAATAATTTTAATACGAATAAGAAATTTCTTCTTGCAAGGGGCGACTAAAGTGATGGGATCATTGATCTTTATTGAAGTTATTGAATCTAAACGAGATAAAAATCAAACGAGTTAAAAATTTATACTAACTTAAAAAGAATTAAGAAAAAATGTAAAAAATTCATTGCCATACGTGGGTTGGAACCTCGTACCCCAAGCGTGTAAAACGTAAGTTTTACCAACTTGGCACTTGTACGTTGCTTCCGTTCGTTTGAAAAAATTTGCTATTTAAGCTAGTTCAAATTTCAAAGTTATTTTTCTCGACTTAAAAGAAGCAAATAAATTTAAATAAGTTTAACTTTCTATGCTATATTAATTTTTAATTATATAATATTTATGAAAATCTGTACTCCCCTTGTCATTTATTTTAAAATAAAATAAAATACAAAACCCAGAATTTTAACACAAAAATAGCAAATTTTTGAATACGGTAGTCATTTTNAAAAATAGCATTTTGTTGAATACGGTAGTCATTTTCATCATGAAGACAAATCCAGAGGTCAAATTTTTTTTTTCAAATTAAAGTATATTATATAAGCTTTAATTTAAGATATATATAAAAGTGTCAGTATTTTCGGAATACTTTCAAAAATTAAATTGAAAATATCATAGTAACAATACGCTTGTTTAAAGTTTTGACCCCCCTTGTTAAAGGGGTATGATCCGATTTACATAAAAAGCGTGTCAGATGAAAGGGGTATATAAATATTTATTAAAAAAAAATAATAATATTGATCCATACATTTTTCCAAAAGTTATATAAAATATATAATCGAGAATTTTTTCAAGGAAAACATACGTTTTTCTTTAACTTTGATGTCCGTTTTCACCACGAAGATAAGTCCAGAGGCCAAATTTTAGCTTCGATGCGAAGCTGAGAAGGTATTAATTTTACTATGGTGTTCTTTTTTTTTTTTTTTTTTTTTTTGCCACTTTTTCTCAGCTCTCACTGCACCGATTTATTTCAAAAATACGTCAAAAGATCACAAAATGTATCTAGTTGAAGACATTACCTGTCTTTACCTACTAATGTCTTTACCTATCATTTGGTATATATATTTTTTATATCTGACCCTTTACCTGCCCACAGGAGGGGATTTAAAATGACAACTTTTTCACAAAAAATTAACTTTTTCAACTTAACTTTTGAAAATGTTCCGGAAGGTCTGACACTTTTATATATATCTTAAATTAAAGCTAATGTAATGTACTTTAATTTGAAAAAAAAAAATTTGACCTCTGGACTTGTCTTCATGGTGAAAACGGCTACCGAATGCTATTTTTGTGTGAAAATTTTTCTATGAGGAGTAGTATTCATATACATCTTTCATTTGACATACTGTTTTTTTAAATCGGACCATTTCCCTATTTACGAGGGGGGTTCAAATCTAAAAAATGCATGTAAAAAGTACAACTTTTTCAACTTAATTTTGAAAGTGTTCCGGAAAGTCTGACACTTTTTTATATATATTAAATTAAAGCTAATGTAATCTACTTTATTATGAAAAAAATTTTTGGACTTTATTTTGTCTTCACGGTGAAAATGGCTACCAAATGCTATTATTATGTGAAAATTCTCGTTTTTATTTTTTACATTTTTAACTTTATAATGCTATGACATATTTAAAAGTGTATGGATCAACATTATTTTTTTATAAGAAATAATATTTTTTAATAATCCCTTTTTCATTCGACATACTTTATCTTAATTAGGATATTAATAATGAACTAGCAGATCATGTATCTTTTGGAATAATCCACCAATTTTTTAAAATTAAACACTATCTAAAGATTTGCATCGAAGCGTTTTTTTTTGATAGTGATTTTAATCACTGTCAGATATCATTATACTTGATCCATCTATGCCACGTCACCACTGTGCCGCGACCCCCCTGTGCTCGGTTTTTTTTTTTTTAAGCCTTATATAAATATGTCAATTGTAATAACTAATTAATTTAGAAAATCCCACAAAAAAAAAAAAATATATTTAATCTTTCCTCCTTTTTGGTGTTTAAAAAATTACATGGAGTCGCTCAACTCGGGATGAAGAACAATTATACATTTTTTCTTTAAAATTTTATTTTAATTATTATTTTCAAACAAATTGTATGTTTTTCTAAAAAAACGTAAAGCTATGTTTTGTTAGATATAAACAATACACGTTTAATAAATGTGAGTGTATCCCCCAAACCAAATGTAAAGTATTACCCCAAGTGACTTTTTTGAAAAAAAAAATTTTCTGGTATAAATTTTACAGTATATATACTAAGTTATATTTAAACTAAAAATAACAATATTATCTATAATAATACGTTAAAATCATAACTTTTATTTCAACAATATTTGACTTGAGTGTTCCTAAAAATTATTAAATTTTATTTGCTCACTCCCGTTTTTACTTTTTTGGCTGTTAATAATAAAATAATTATTTATGTTTCCATTTAAAAAACTATTAATACAAAACATAGAAAACAAAAACTATAAAACAATTCAAAGCAGAAAATAATTATACTTTTTTTTTGCGTTATCTTAAATGTGTAAGAATACTAATAACCTCTGAAGAAAAAATATTAGATTTTATTTAATAACTTTGAAGATATTACGTGAGACACAATTATTGGATTATTCTGTGCATTGTTATTTAATAAAAATATACCTGGGACACAAGTGTACAATTGTCCGCTCCATCGTCCATCTTTTTGACAAACGAGTTCAATTGGATATTCAGTTTGTCCGTTTGGAAGACTGTGAGTTGGTTTGCATTTAGGTTTTAATATCGTACCAGGCTTAGAAGGTTTTGAACAAGGGACTATATCGCCATTAAATGTACATACTAGACTAAGGCTATCTGACAACATGACAGGACACATTTCTAAAAGAGAAAATAACTATCAATTAAGATAAATAATTGTGATAATTATAAAATTTGACATGAGACTAGGTAAGTTTACACTCAAAGAATTCCTAACTTACTTAAACATAAAATGTCTGTAAAAACCGGAGTCCATTTTTCACTATCTATACACCCTCTTGATCTAGTGGATCCGTCTTGAAAATAATCTAGTTTACAAGTTTCCAAGATGAAGTCGTATTGGTTTACTTTTGAGCCAGGAGATATGGTTCTATTAACGTTTTCCAATGTATAAATACTTCCTTCCGCATTAGGAACAGTGCATTGTTTTCTTAAATAAATATTGAAAATTATTATTTTTGTTCTTTCAAGGTTTTATACTACAATTCATGAATACTTTTTGTTTGGCGATCCTGTGGTAGGCTTACGAGTTGTAGTCGTTGATGTTGAGTGGGCATTAGAATGTTTACACCGATCACCTTCGTCTGAACCATCTGCACAGTTTTTTACGCCATTGCACTTTTTATCTTTTGGTATACAAGCACCATAATTACACGTAAAAGAGTAACTTGGACACCTAAAATCGATGTAAATATTGTAATTATATACATTTATAAATTCTTAAAAGTTATTCCAAATTGACTTGAAAATTTATGTTATGTGTTGTTACCAAGTTTTTAGTTTTGTAGGTATTAGAGGGTTATTTCCCCTTAGACAAAAAATATTTCTACACTACTTCATAATCCTACGACAAAGTTGGTAAATTTGGAATTCTTTAAAGTGGCTCAAACAAAATTTATAAATAAATAAAATTCCGGGCCCTAGTTATAGTGCCGTAAATAAAAAAAATCTACCTATTACTTTTACAGAGCTCGTGTGTTTCATCAGACCCATCTTTGCATTCTACATTTCCATCACATGTATTTGTACTGTCGATACATTCGCCAGATTTACAGTGAAATTCGTCTGAACTAAAATTTGAAATGTAATTTCATTAATAATTAATGTTGTAAACATAAAAATAGCAAATTTAAAAAATAAAAGAGCTAATAAAATTAAAATTTTTCTTTTTTAGATTTTATTAACTCTTTTAGTCACAAATGCGTTTATTCTGTATTAAATTCACCACTAAGTTCTTACATGAATTAAAAAAATAAAACAAAACTCTACGTTTAATTTTAAATAATATATCTGTGATAATATTAGCATTTATTACACGTTTTATAATTAAATATATTTTTAATTATTATATAATAACATACGTAATAATATAGAACAATAACAGAGTCTGACTTAAGTATTTAGAGGACTAAGGCAAGATTGAAGTTGTAGCTTCTTATTTTATATTTTATACAGCAAATATTCTATACTATATATATATATATATATCTTATTATTTTTCCTCGCCTTTATCCTAACTATTTGCGGTCGGTCACCCTTATCTCAAACTTTCATTTGACATGATCACATCAACTGTACACAAACAGTCCTCATATCCGCAGCATTCAATAAAATTCCTTCATATCTTTTTTGGTTTTCCTCTACCTCTTCTTCTTTCAACATTCATTTCCATAACTCTTCTTACAGCTTCCAATTCCTCTCTCATCATAACATGACCAAACCATCCAAGTATATTTTCTCTCATCTTATTCACGATTCACGCTATACCTATACTCCCTCTTATATGTTCGTTCCTTAACCTATCTTCTCTAGTCACTCCACTCATCCATATAAATATTTTCATTTCTGCTACACTCATTCTTTGCTTTATTCTCTTGACAACCGCCCAACACTCTGAACCATATATCATAATTGTATATAGACGTATCATACGCTTTTTCTAAATCTATAAATACCATACTCAGCTTTTAGCTTGATGCAAAGCTGAGAAGGTATTAGTTTTACTATAATGTGTTTTTTTTTTTTTTAATGTCAGTTACCATTTTTTCTCAGCTCTCACCGAACCGATTTATTTCAACGATACGTCAAAAGATCACAAATCATATCTAGTCGAAGACATTACCCTCAAAAGTTGAAAAAATTTCCCTCGTTCCCCGTAAATGGAGGAAATGTCCAAAAAAATTACAAATTTAAAAATTGCTAATTTTCGACATTTTTTCAAATTTTTTTACTTAAAATTGCCATAACTTTTTTAAAAATAACCAAATAAATATATATATTTTTTTTATAGATACATGAGGTAATTACTTATAATTTTGTATATATTTTTTTATAAATTACCAACTGGTTTTTTTTTTCTTATACTTTTCTATTAAATGCCTAACATAAAAAACTAATTTCATCATTGACTTTTCAAGCAAAAAACTTTAATATTATAATTTTTATTTTTATTATAGTTATAATTTATTTATTTTGTTGTCCATATCTATTATTATTATTTAACAAAAAATAGATTTACGAGATTGTATAATAGGGAATGTATTGTGACATATGTCAAAGAATTACAAATCAACAATATCGGGAACGTTGTTTTCAGCACTTAAAAAATAGAAATTTCCATACTTGAAATTTTTTAAAAATTTGGTCACAATTTAATGTTTTTTAAAAGCAACATATCAGTTTTTTAAAAATAGTCACTGTATATAGGTGTCAGTAAGTAAGGAAATGGGCTTCTAATGTTCTCATTATTTGTAACAATTGACCCGTTTCCTTACTTTTATAATACTCTCAAAGGCGTAAAGCATTTGAGTAAATGTATTTGAATAAAAGTATTCCAATACTTTCATTGGTATTGAATAGTATTTTTAAATACATTTAATAAAAAGTATCTGAGTAGTATTTTAAATACAATTATTTAGTATTTAATACTGTTTAATATTCAGTACTATTAATATACTTTTTTTTTTTTAATTTGCTAACCGTAACACAGCAAGCAAATTAAACTCAGTCAAAATGAAAATTGAGAATAATTCTCTGTTATTTTATATGTTACATTATAGTATAACATAATTATTGTGCTTATCTAAATGCTATTATGTATACATCTATTTTTAATACATCAGTTGAACCTACAATAGCCTATTGCAGGTTCAAATGATTTACTCTATTGTCAATAAGACATACTTTACAGGTTTTTACACGTGTACTAATATTTATTTTTTTCACTGATTAGTCTCCAATAATTAATTTTATTTACCTCTAACAAAAAATATCGTAAATAATAAATGAGTTCTCTTAATTTAAGAGTACTCAATATTTGACTCAAATTACCCTCTTGGTAATTATTTAGGTGGAACCTTTTGCTCTTAGTTAAAATAAAAACATTATTATTATTTTTTAATTGTATTCTTAGTATTTGAAATACTTTTGTAAAGTAATTGAGTATTACTCAAATACTTTTGTATGAAAAGTATTCAAATAGTATTTTAAATACATTTTTTTTTAAATATTTGAATATTATTTAAAATACTTTTTAAAAGTATTTTTTACAACTATGAATACTCTATATACAAAACTGTATTTAAATTAATAAAATCTTTATATTAAACGACTGCATATCTTACAGACATTTTGTGCTACTGTGATGAGATGTATGGTGTTTTTTACATTCTGGTAAATTTTCGTCAGATCCATCGACACAATCATGTTTACCATCACACTTAACATTTCTATCAACACAAGCGCCATACTTACAACGAAACGCAAAGGATGGACAGCTATAAAGTTGAAAAACTTAAATTGTATACTTTTTTTACAACTTTTATCAAAATATTTTTCAATTTTTTAAGTTATTACGATGATATTATTTCTGTACAAAGTTTTTGAGTTTCATCTGAACTATCTGGACAATCTGGAATTCCATCGCAGGTTAAAATGGAATCTATACAAAAACCATTTGAACATTGGTATTTGTCACTGAAAAATATCAAATAATATATATTTATATAAATAGTTTGTAATAAATTTAAGTACAATTGTTTACGCTTATTTAGGGTTGTATAAGATGGATGACTTTATTGGTAAATACCTTCTCAACTTTAATATTTTAATTTGACAAAGAAATTACTAGCCGTGTACTTTAAAAAAACAACGCTAATTGCTAATTAATAAACTTCATTTATCATAAATCAAATCTCATTTTAAAATTTAATTTTTCAATAATATTAGATTAATTTTTTACAAAAATATCTTAAATTCCTAAAACGTGTCTGTTATCTGTCACGCAGTCCCTGAAAATCATGAAACCAACGAAAACATGAAATCACGAAAATGGTGTCGAGGTTTACACAATACAAAATTAAATGCTGTAAAGAACATTACAAACTATAGAGTGTTTAAACTAGTGTTCAATTGCATATTTTTTGTACTTTTGCAAATAAGTGAATCGTCAAAAAAATGTATGTATGCCAAATTAGCACTGTGTTTTTATTTCATTTAGGTACATTTTTGTTTTATGATATGAATTAAAGCGGGTTTTAAAGCTTTCTCCTTTCAAATATAACACATTAAATATTTTAAATAATTTATAAAGGTTAATTCAATTAATTTACATCTACCTAAAAAATCCAAATTTGAAACAGATCTGTTCAAAACAGAAAATTCAAAATATTTTTGTTAAAAAATGAGACATTAAAAAGTTTTACAAAATATAAGTATTGATAAATATTTTTATTGAGTTAAAAATTATTTCAGTTACCAACATGGAGCATGAAGTTTGTCGTTTATCCGTTTTATGATGATTACCAAAAACTCCGTGACCTACGATGACTATAACACAAAATATTTTTAAAAAGTCTTTTAAAATTAAATGTTTTTTTAAACATGACTTCAGTATTGTTGGTTAATTACGCACCAAATATAATAAAATAATGTAGCGAAATTCCATGTTTAATTATTAGCATTATAATTGCACTAATAATTCTAATAATTACATTAGAAAAAAAACAAAATAATTTTTCACAAATAATTGGATTTGATTGTTTGATGACTTAAATCAGTATTGCTACTCGTAAACGATTTATTTTAACTTTGAAAATTATACGATGTGATAAAAGTTGTACCTGAAGGTTCTTATTCTGCGATAACACGTGAAATAGAAACGTACTATTAGAATATAAGAATCGTATACTGACAGAGTATTGATAAACAAGTACAAACCAAAGTGCAATAGCCAACAAGATTATGGTAATTATTAATTCTATATTACAAACAAACTGGTTTTTCCTGGTTTCACACTATACAGAGTGATATACGTTAAATCACGAAGCCAAACTTTAATATTAGCATTTATTATATATTTTACAACGTAAAACATGTAGAGGGTTTAGGACTATAGAAACATATCGACCAAATCCTTACTTTTCAGAAAAGCAAAATTACATTTTATTTCCGATATAAACTAATGAAAAAAGTGTATTCCTTCTTACAAAAATTATACCATCTAATATTATTATTGGAACAACATTTTCACATTAAAAAAAAAAATTAATTGAAATACTAACAATTCAAAAATTGTACTTTCGGTTAAAATTTGATTCTATACCCTAGATGTATGTATTAGTTATCTATAGACATAGTTGTTTTAACACATATATTTCGGCTAAAATATTAAAGTTCTATAATACTTTAAAGTTTTTAAAATTACTTAATACCTTGTATTTTAGTGAGAATTCTAATCTATTAAGTTAAATTTAAAGATTTAAAAAAAAAAATTATACTCAAAATAGGTTGACAAAAAATTTTTTTTATGATTTTAAATAAAAAATAGAAATTTTTCTTTGAGCACTTAAAGGATTTAGGAAAAACACAATACTTAAAATATAATTTTAATTGATTCAGCTAGCTAATTCATACAAATTTAAAAAAATATAAAATTAAAATTATTTTGATTAAAAGTATAGATTATATACTACATAAGTATATGATATAGAAATTTTAAATTAAATTTTCTGAAATAGTTAATTTTTTCATATGATTATATATAATAATGGAATAATTATTATAGGATAAAATGGGTACATTCTTCTAGACAGTAGTGTAGTGAGGTTTTCAGAAATAAAATTATATGAAAACATTTCTTGAAAATTTTCCGGAAATCGAAAAAATATTGTAAAAGTTATAACTTTGAGATAATAAAAAAAAGTCGAAATTAATTAATTAAAAACTAATGAGCTTTATGAAATTCCAATAACAGATACAGTGCTATCGCTAGGTTTGGTGAGGCCCTAGAAAACCTATTACCTATCAGATGGAATAGAATCCATTTTCCTCATTTTACAGAGAAACATGGGAGGAATATAGACTTATATCTGTATATCACTGATAACACGGCATGTATCTAAGATAGTTTAATGATCCCTGTGAAAAATGTTAAACGTACATTTTAGATATTAAGTTTATAATATTTATATCCAAAGAAAGCATTTTTACCTTCCCCAAAATAATGTTAGACTCCGAACAAATATTAGCTTCAATCCAAAGCTACAAAGGTATTAATTTTATCAAGATGTTTTTTTATTATTTATACTAAAATTATACTGAACTAATATTAAAAATAAATACGTCAAATGATTTCAAATTATATCTAACTGAAAAAATTCCCTCGCATCTTTTATTAGTGGAAATATTCCTACAAAGGTAGTTGTTGAAATGTCAGATTCTGATGTTTTAAATATCATAAACCGTTCAGTTATATGAATTTAAAACGCATATATCAAATTGACATTTTGTAGGTATTATTTTAACATATTTTTTGAAAATATGATTTATAATATAAATAAAATTGAAGTTTCATATAGCTATAGATTATGTCAAAAAGTTTTTTTCTTTTTTGACAACGTACTCAAAATGTATCCCTATGTTTCTAAGTCTACCTAATTTTTTTTGCAGTAATTGTAATTTAAAAGGAAAGCAGTGCAAGGATGAGGCACACGGGGTACGTGCCCCGTGCTCACTTCATGGGCCCTGCACAAAACAGTTGCGTAGTTAAGGTTTTACTACTTCTGTAAACTAAAAAAACTGTATTCACCATGCAAACATTTTTACGGGGGAAATCTACCCTATTTGAAACCCTACTATATGGCACGAGCAATTGAATTGTGATTTGCCCCGTGCCATACAAATACTAGAACCGGCACTGAGAAAATGCATAAGTGATTATTTTTATTTTTACTTATAAAGTAACTACAAGATATACTTGAGGATTGAAATTGTCATATTTGAAATAATATCTACTAAATATTTTAAAAGAATTGATCAGTTTACAATTACCTCATTCATTTAGATTTGCCCCACTTAATCCTATAATAGTGGTAATAACTTTTTCCTTAATACGCGAGAAATTAAAATATATAATTGTTTGATTCCTTGATGATAAACACTGCACTAAAATATTCTAGAGTTTATACTGAGACTTTAAACACACAAGTGCTATGTTCATTTTTTTCAATGTTGAGATTACCAACAAATTGTTGTAAATGCCATTAATTTATTAATGATAATATTTAAAATTTGAAGAGATATGGTTATAGCATTTTGAAGAACCAATATAGTTAAAATAATATTTGTTCATACATTTTTATTATATAATATATTTTTAAAATCATTTTCTTCCATGGATAATTTGTGAAAACTTCTTATCTTGCATTTTGACGTTTTATCTAAATTTTGATAACAACAGTGAAAAAATATAGTGAATTATGTTATGTCAAAGTGATGTCGTTTTGTCATAGATATTTTTCAAACCAAAATTTGTTTTTATATTATTAATACAATGGGCTACAAAATAAAAGCTCTTGCTTTTGTGTCATCTAGTGTCGTATTAGGCGTTTGTACGTACACAGCGTATCGTATGTGGAGAAAGAGACAATGCAGTGCAGATGATGAAGGATTTGAAGATGTTTCTAAGGTATTTATTATAGTTATTTATTTGAATAAATTAAGCATGTACCATGTAATCTGAACTTGATATAAAAATTTTGTAATTTAGATGGAAGAAACATTGGAAAAAAAAGTTTTGGTTCTTGGTCTCGAATGTTCAGGTAAATCAACGTTGGTCTCTCAAATTGTGAGAGAAATTGGACAGAAAGGCGTTTCTCTAAGTACTGGATATAAACCAACTGAAGGATTTAATGTTACGTCCTTATCAAATGGAAATTCCCCTTCTATTAATATTTGGGAGAGTAAGATAAATATATATATATAATAGCGTGATTCACGATGTTTTACCAAATCTAATTTAGATTTGTAAAAACATTGTAAACCATTCTGTATAGGGTTAATGAAACTTTTATTATTAAACTCCTTAAATTTTACATCTAAACCGTCATTTTTAATATTTAAGTAAAAAAAAGTTTGATTATTTAATTTTTTAAATTTTAATGAAAATGTCAGTATTAGTTAATAAAAGTAATAGTTAATTATTTTATATTATTGATTTTTGATTGAAAAATATACTCTATAAATAAATAAAAATAAGAAAAATTAAATTAATTTTATTGTCTATTATTTTTATTTTTAGCTAAGTAAGCATCATCATTTTTTAATATTTTATTAAGAAGTACTAATTAAACTTGTAATAGAGATTTTACAATATCTTAAGGATTTATAATTGAATAAAATGTGTGGATAATATTCTATTTATTTACTATTTCAAATTAATAGTTTGTTTTGAGGTATAATACAATTATTTAAAAATAAATTTATTATACTGTTAAATATAAAATATTTAATGCAATAATAATCTATTGAATATTGTTAAAATTAATAAATAATATTAAATCTAGTGATTGTATATATTATTATTTTATATGTAAAAATTCAACTAATTCTATGTTTTTCTTTATTGATTTAATATGATACTTTAAATTTTTTCTTTTAGAAATTTCATATTATTGCAACATTTATTTATTTATGTTTAATAATATATAATGATTAATAGTCGGAGGCAAAGAAAGTGTTAGAAGATATTGGGCCAAGTTTTTCCAAGATACAGACATATTAGTTTTTGTTGTTGATGCCAGCAATACTTCAAACTTATCTGTTGTTGTCAGTGAGATTAAATCATTATTAGGTGATGCTCGACTAGCTTCTGTTCCAATTTTAGTATTAGCAAACAAACAGGTAATTCACAGAAATTTCTTTTGATTAACAACTATAGATTTAGTTTAAATTAATTATGAATTGCTAACTCCTGGATGCAGTTGTGAATTAAAGACTTTTTTGCCTAGAGACTATATTCATAGCCCTTCTCTTGGTCATAATCTTAAGGGTATAGGTTGCTTAGCCACCATTTTTATTATTTCTAAGTATTAAAAAAGTTATTTAGATACATCACAATAATTTTTAGGGATTTAAAGAAATATAAAATTAGATAACCTAAATATTTTGTTAAAAACTATTTGAGACCATGTAAAATTGTAGAAATCTTTTTAGAATATTAACCACTTTTTGATATTTTCTACAATTTATTCACAATAATTTAAATAAAAAAAAAAATTTTCTAATGTTATTTACAAATGATTATGGGTCTGTTACATCTTCACAAGTTCCAAACAGTTGCTTCACAAGTATTTGCAGATATTTTTATGTTTATTCACCTGTTTTCTGTAATTAGGTTTTAAAAACTTTTGTATATTTCATTTTCATTAGAAAACAAAAGTAATAAATATATTTAGTATATTAAATATACTATTAAGAATGTTTTTAACTCTCTAATATAATTTATCAGTGATAGTTACATTTTAAATTATTAATTATTAATTATTTTAAACATTTATAAATATAAGAAAATACTTGAGTTGAACAGTTCCATCATTCAAAATGCTCCCATAATTTATGGTTCCTACATTATTGCACCCTGTGGCCAGCTGCTCCAGGTAGTCCTTTCTTTATGCAGACACTCCACTAACTTATTGTTTAAAAAGTCAGGAAAAGAGTTTCTATTGTTTTATTTCAAATAATCTTATTATTTTTAAATTTTTAGGATGTGCTCGGAGCTCTTAGAGCTGAACAGATCTCAAATGTTCTAGATTTGAAAAGCATACCTTCTAGATCACATCAAGTAAAAGTCTTAGAAACTCAAACAAAACCTGGATCTGTTGATATACATCCAACAGTACTAGAAGTCCGCAAAGTACTTTTAAAACTGAGTTCTAATTTATAACCTAAAGGTTTTTAAAATTACAAATGAAATACATTTTATCAAAAGAATAACAGAAACACCTTTTTAATGTACATTTTATTTTTATTATTATTATTTTTTTTTAACAAACTTTAAATGTTCCATAAATTTTTATTTTTGAACATTATAATTTTCAAAATTTAATTGTTGTAAAATAAAAAAATTATTTTGACTCGTCAATTGGTCTTGGCATTAAGTATTCATAATCTTTTATGCCTTTAAATATCAATATTTTGGCACGTATCTGTTTCCAGGTCATCTGATAAACATTTTTAGGATCTTTAGTCATCTCCTGTAAAAAGTATTAATTTAATCAAGTTATTATATTTTCCTCATAAAATATATGAATGCTTATTTAAAATTTTAATATTTTTTCTGTATTATTATTTTTATTATTATATAAGATATTTTATAGATGTTAGATTTCATGACGGCATTATATTTTGAAAATGCTGTGAAAAATATTTATTGAAATTGTTTTTTTTTTTTTTTTTAATTATTCTTAGTAGTTATACACAAATTACTATTTAAATTATTTTAAGATATTTTAGGATAATATTAACACACATGTAATAATATAATAAAATAATATTTGTAACACATGTAATTAAATTTTTATTTTGTATATATATATATTATCATACATTGAACATTGTATATTTTATGTTCAATAACTTAAAATTTAGAATTAAAAAAAAAGCATTAAATCACTCAAAATTAAAATTTTAGCCGTATTTTTCTATTTATTTATAAATATATGGTTGTTAATTTTAGAATGGTTCAAACGTAGTAATTTATAATATAAACATTTGTTTATTCTATTAATAAGATTTTACACAAGTTTTAAAATATCATATACTAACCTTATAGTTATTGCCATATTTTTCCATCAGATAAGTTAAAAATTTTATTGTACCAGGTGGTATTGTTATTTGCTTGAGTTTTCTAGGTTTTTTAGCTTCTTCTTCTAATTTCTTAATTACTTTTGTTGGTTTTCTATTTTTTTTTTGTCGCTATCAAATAAATTTATTAACTTTTATAATATTTTTAATAGACAAAATGAAATATATTATAAGAAATTAAAAATTAAATAATCATATTTTCCTATCTTCATTAAAATCAAATTTCAAAAAGTCAAACATTTCATACTTGACATGAGTTTATCAAAAATGAACTTACAGTTATTTGTACTACAGAATTTCCAGTTCCTTCCATTGGGGCATTTTCTTGTGACTGATTGCTAACAAAACCTGTCAATATTGATCTACTAGGATCATTGGTAAGGCCAAAGTTTCTTAGATTCTTCCTAACTGAAGCTTTATCATCCCATAAATCTTTTATGAGTGGACTGAAAAAATATTTAAAAAAGACTATTTTAAATAGTTATTAACTTAAAAAAGAGCAAATAAATGAGCACACCTTAATTTAATAAAAAATATAAACATAATAATATAACCTTGTTAATTTGTAACAAACACATATATGTGAAAAAGGATCAAGTTACAACCCCTTCACTCCTAATCAAAATAGTGATACCTATATTGTTTGTTCTTTACTGAGAAATACCATAAGAAAATATTTTCTTTTCTTTTGAATTTTTTTCATCCTATTTTTATGAAATTCCTAAATGAGTACTTGGTAGGGACTGATCTAAGAGAGTGCACTAGGTGCACATTCCCAAGTCACTGGAAAAATATTTATTTTTTTGCTCATTTAAATAAAAATAAATAATAATGCATAGAAAATTTTTTTAATAAGCAGAATAAAAAGGTTTTAGGGGCAGCAGATTTACTAAATTTGGGCTTTGTACTTGGCCAAAAACTTTGTTATAAGAATAACAGTATTAAAATATTGAATAAAATAGCAGTACTTTAACATTCTTATCATTTTATTTAATATTCAGTTAGAAAATATAAATTTATTCACAATTAAAAATATAAAAGTATTTTAAAAATATATAATTTGAAAGCTGCTCATTTATTTACTCCAAGAAAGTTATCATTGTTCCCTACTAGTAAGATAAGTTCTACTTTTTTAAAATAACTAAGAAGTATTTTGTAATGAAATTTTTAAGAATAAGGCTCGTCACAGATATAGTATCCTCTTAAAATTAGTTAGATTGGTTTTTATTTAATAATTATATTAATTGTCACAGTTACAATGTAGTGTTTTAATACATACATATTATGTGAATTTATTAAAGTTACCTACTTAATTAACTATTCATTTTAACATTTTTTTTTATTGATTTAAACTTCAATCAATATACTTTTTCAATATGATTGAATATGATGTATTTCTGTATTTTTTATCAATAAATTATATTGAATTCTTTCACATTTTTTAAATGTATTTAATGTCTAAAAATTAATTGAATTCGTACAATTTTTTATATGATTTCTTAATAACTTAAACACTGACATTTAATTGTAGTTTAACCTTGTATATTTTAGATATTCCGAAGTATTGTCGAACAATAATATAAATAATCAAAGTTTTCTTAAAGTGTTATAACTAAAGGGCGGATTTATATGCATTTATAAATAGTATTTTAAAAGGACTCAATTTATGCATATTTGTAATTGGAATATACTGTAGCGTTGAAATTTTTTTTTTTTTTAGGGAAATAAACCCTCACTAACATTAAAACATCAGTTATATCATATTACTAAGTTTTCAATACAAATAAGTTTTTAATACAAATCTGTACTAGCGGATGATATGTTTGAAATAACTTAACAAAACTTATAAATGCATATAAATTCTCTTTTTAGTTACAACTGTAATTAGGAAATAGTTATAAAAGTAAGTTACTTCAGTACTTTATAATTAATTTAAATTATTATGAAGAAAAATAACACAACTAATGAATACATAGCTTCTAGGGCACTAATAAAATAATTTATATTAAGGAAGTCATAGAATTTATTCTATTAAAATTATAGTAATTCAATCATTTTTTGCAATACTGAATTGATATCTAAAATAAATACTTAACAATTAAAATAAGATAGTAAAATATTATTTTACAATGTAACTTTTGGCATTCTTTTTTTCATCTTCCGGCGTAATGCTTTTTTGTTGTAAGTTGAAGGCATAATTATTTTTTATAAGATTTAATATAGAATAAGTACAGACTTCTAAATTTGAAATACAATATAATAACTTTAAAGCTAAGAGCACTATAATTAGTTAATACACATTTTCAAGGACTATAATTTAAAAAAATTTAATTATCACTTATAAAATTATTAAAATATAATTAGACAGACAAAAAAATGTTGTCAAGTATCACGTGGTTGATAATGATAAAAATGTTTGTAAATTGGTTATCTAGATAAAAAATGATACAGACGAGTTTACTGGCATCATTGTCATGCCGGTTTAATAAATTCACACAACTTATTATACATTTTAAAATTTTTTATTTGTACAATTAATTTTTCTCTAAATTTAATATGTTTTTTTATAATCGTAATTCTATTCGAATTTTGCTTTGTTTTCTTGAATTTATATTATAAAATGTTCATCGTTAGTGAATTTGAAGAGGTTGTCAAAGTACAACCATCACATCTTGATGATGATCAAGTGTCACGAATTATCATTCATCTCAACTCTATGCTCGCAAACAAAGTTGTTATGAATGTTGGTTTGTGTTTGTCTTTGTTTGACATTTTAGAAATTGGTGATCCCATAATTTACCCAGGGGAAGGTGCTTATTTTTCCAAAGTACGATTTAGATTTATAGTTTTTCGGTATGTTTTTATGAATAAATAATGTTTTATAAAAACCAAACCTGTCATATCTGATTAAAGAAGTAAAATAAATATTTTTATTTTTACAGACCATTTGTTGAAGAAATACTCATTGGAAAGGTCAAGAGTTCTGGACCTGAGGGAGCCACATTATCTACAGGTTTTTTTGATGATATTTTTGTTCCTGCTGCCAACATGCAAAATCCTAGTCGTTTTGATGTTAAAGATAAAGTATGGGTTTGGGAATATGATAATTGTGGTGAAACAGTTGATCTTCATATGGATATTGGTGAAACTGTCAGATTTCGTGTAGTATCAGAACAATTTGTAGATACCCATCCTGGTGTAGATAGTGGACTTCTAGATGCGGGTGAAGTTGTAACTTCTAAATCTAAATCACCTTATTCTATAGTTGGAACTGTCAGAGAACCTGGGCTTGGTGTTATAGGTTGGTGGACTGACCTTTAAAGTATGGCTTCTCTTCAATTTTTCTATCAAAACCATATTTAAAACCATCACTTCCATTACCAATTTTAAGTGTACCTAACATTAGCTTATTAAGAGTTTCTTTTGGAAGTGTTGAACTTTTTTTTAAGTGTTTACTATTTTTATCTCATAGCTAGAATTGAATGTAAAATGAATTTTGATAAGTTTAATTGGTATAACTAAATTTTTTATTTATTTTTAACTAAAGAAACTTTTTTACATAATTGTCTGGTTAAATTTTCGATAAACTTTAAATAAATAAATCTTTTTTACCATACAGTCTGAGATTACAATTCATCTTGTTATATTCTCATGTTCAGTTCTTATAATGTAATTTTTTTAACTTCTTAAGGTTTTCAAATAAAAATGCTAATAATAATATGACATTTTATTGATAAAAACTGTTAATTTTTATGTTAAAATTATATTTTTTCAAAAATATTATATAAAACTAACCAGCTGTTTTAATTGAAAACATTGTTTTTAATCTATAATTGTAAATAATATTTAAAAATGTTTAGTTTAAAAATGACTTTTTAATTCAATCATTTGTACAATTTTTTTCTACGTCAGCAATTTGTAAATAATGACTTTGACCAAAATATTTACAATCCATATTTATGAATTGATAAACAAAATTGTAATTGTTTATACTAATTTTTTTTATAACAGAACTACACAAAACTATGAAACATCAGAAGTATTACTTATGAGCAAATGAATAATTGACAGTAAAAAATATGTATTTAAAACCAATGGAATTTTTATTTGCAATGATATTTGGATTAAAATTTAATTTGTATAGTTAATAGTTATGATGTTGATTGTAACCATGAGGCCGTGGTCCACCCTGAAAAAAATTTATAATTTCAAATATTAATAATTTTTTTATACATTGAAAAAAAAGTGAATGGTACATAAAGAATTATAATGATAAATGTTAATATCTTGTTCTTTCATATTCTAAAGGCTAATTCATATTTTGTTATTAGTGACTAGGGTTTCAAATTTACTGGTTAAAATGAAAATAACAACATATTTATTTATTTTAATAAGTTAATTCTTAAAATCTGTTTTATCAGATGTACTGTTATTCTCTCAGAAGCACATTTCATTAATTACATGTTTACTTACTCTTTGGGTTTGGGGGTTGTATGGCTGATATCGGTTATTTTGTCTATCACTTGATAAATCTGTATTTCCATTGTAAGGTTGATGAGACCTTAAAGATAAAATGATATTTATTAAAATATAAGAAAAAAAATTAATCATTATTTAACTTACGTTTGATTATTTGTTTGATAACCAGGTGTAAAATATCCAGTTCTATTATTTGAAACAAAAGATTGTTGTCCAGAGGAATATTGAGAACCATAATTCGAGTAATGATTATTATTGGTTCTGTACTGATTATTTTGAATATCTGAGTTATTACCATAGTTAGAATTTCGATTATTTCTTGAATACTGATTTTGTTTGGTCTGTTGAGAATTATAATTATGGTTAGGACGTCTAAAATTGTTAAAATCTGTCTGCCGAGGATTGTTTCTAAGTCCTAATAAAATTATTAGCCATCAATTTTATCTTACTAACAATATTAATGAGAAAGTTACCTTGTGGTGGAGGAACAGAACTATATTGTCCAGTATGTCTAGGTACATGATGCCTGTAAATATTCAGTTTTTAAAGTTATGTGGATTACTAAGTGTTAGAATTTAAATTAATTAGTCTTCTACTAGAATTTTGAAAGAACAGAAGAAATTTATTTTTAACAAGTATTTATAGAAAAATTATTTATGAAGTCTTTTTCTCTGTTAAAAAAAAATACTTTTTGTCACTAATTACATTTTTTATCACAGCATCTCAATAATATTAAATAAACAATGAATATTCAGTGGCAAACTGGTGCGGAGCGCTATAATGTAATTACATACTAGACCATGACCATAGAATATTTAAAAAAAATTGTATGTAAAAAATAAAATGTTTTTGTATTTCAGTTCTCCATTGTTTATAAAATTAGAATTGGCTAAAGCTTAGAAATAAAACAGGTAATTTTTAATTTAAATAAAAAAAGAGAAAATTTTCTTTAAATATGTTCAGCAAAATTTAACTTGCATTGAGAAACTTTTAATAATTTGAAACATTAACACATAATAAATACAACATGTGAAATAAACAAGTTACAAAGAATTATACATACGATAACATTCTCTGTCCAGAAGCACTAAATCTACCACGCTGACTTGTGTAATTCATTCCAGTTATAGGTCTCCAGGATCTTGATTGCTCATCTGACAAATGTTTTGGTTTCAAAACTCTTGGAGGTTCCCTAATTTTAAAATATAAAAACATTTTACCATTAATATTTTTTTTAATTTAAGATAAGATATGTCACATGAAAGAAGTATGATTTGCTTTAATAAACCAAAATATACAGAGTAATTTATTTATCATCAATCATTTAATTAGTTGAGAGATATTAATATTGAGCACTTTTTTTCAGGTACATGTTTTTCTTAATTTATTAATCACAAAATATTTTTTATACTCATCTCATAAGGGTATCAACTTTGTTTTTTCAAATGGCAACTTACACAATAAGCTTATTTAATAGATTCTGGTTGAATTAAGAAAATAACGACATGTGAACCACTATTTCATAAGTTATTAATGTTACAATAGTCAAAACTAAAAATTATTTAAAAAAAAGTAACAAAATATTTGCTGGGTCAAAAGTAATTAAAGATGTCAAAACATAGTAAGACATCCTATATATATCATTTTAAATATACCTATTAACGTAAAAGGTCTAAAATCTTTTTAATACAAATATTTCTATATTTTTAAACAAAAGAATAATGAAAACTATGGTATAAATTTTTGGAAAGAGTGTTTCAAGACTAGACATGTTTTACAAAATGAAACTCAAAAGGTATTAAATTTTTTAAGTAAGATAAATTAAAAAGGTGGGAACACCTTAATATTAAATATAACTTAATCACATCCCAAAATAAATTATAATTATTAAAATAATGTATATTTAATTTACATACAAAATTATTTTTATACCAAGTAATCGACTAATTTAACACAATTTAGTTAAATAATTTTTACCATAACAACCCATCTATACTACATATATTACAAGTATATTTATAATAATTGAGTTCATAAATGTTTATCCATCAACATAAAATAATAATCAAATTACTTATAATTGTAAAACTTTGAAATAAAATTTTATTATTTTGATATAAATTGGAATTTTTACAATGAAACAAAAAATTTTTCAAAAAGTTAATTGCAAATATTATTAATGCAAGGCATGAATTCTTTTGTTTAATACTTTTAATTAATCAACACAACTTACACAACTCCTTTAAGTCTGATTGCTTCATATACATAATCTTTTCCATATGAGGGATATTCAAATTTTACACTGAATAAATAAATTTATATTAATTATAACATATTTTAACAAAAATATATTAATAATTTTTTATCCAGAATGAGCTTATTTAGCTATTTTAAAATATAGGTATAATAACAAATCATAAAAACAGAAAAATCTTACCATAAAACTTGATTGCATCTTATAACGTCCAAGCCCATAATTGGTGATGGTAGTGATCTATTAAAATTATTTTTTTAATTATATAATACAATTTGAAGTTTAAAATTCTTACCCTCCAATGTTAACACTCTCTACAGTTAACATCACTTTACCTTCCATTCCATCAATAACTACTGATGTAAAATTATTAAAGTTTTCTTTATTTAAATGTAAATCTTTAAGTAATTCATATTTTGAATTATCTTGCTGGATGTATAAGCGATCATATCCTTTTGTATTACGGCGTTCTAAAATATAATCATGTCATTTCATAATGGATTTCAAACTTAATTAAATTTAATATGTACTCTCTTCAGGTGTCAACAGATCATAAACAGATTCAAGTGCTTTATGTAGTCTTGTTTCATCAACAAATGGTAATAATGCAACACCTTGCCAAGCAAACTTCTTGCCATTTAAGTCTATTTTAAAGTCAATCGGGTAAAAATCTATAATGGGCGAGTCCTTAAAATATAAAGGATAATTTTAATAGATTATTTTTAATTCAAAATCAATTTTTATAATTATTTTTAATAATTTATCAAATTTACAGGCTCAGACATTAAAGTAGCCCATGGCTTAGGTACAAGTTTGTTACTAGCAGCTGGAAATACACTCATAAGTTGTTCTAATGGATTGAACTAAAACATAAATTTATTTTTATTTAGAAATAAAAAATAAAGATTTTATATTTTACTAAAATATATAAATAACGTAATGCATACCGGTTGGGTTCCTTTTTCAAAATTAGTTGATAATGCTGATATATTAACAAAATCAGATGCAAAAGGAGCATAGTGATATGGAAAATACCATTTCCATGATGGACACCCTTGATAGTAATATTGAAGAACCCAACATAATCCACGTACATACTCTAATGCAACTCTATGTCTGAAATCACTATTTGTTCTTTCAACATCAAATTTTGATTCATAATAACGTTCTTTGAAACCATCTTCCCATAGACGCACTTCATCAGGTGTTTCCTCTTCTTCATCATCATCATCATCTTCTCTTTTGCGTTTCTGACCTTGATTGCTTTCATTTCCCTAAATAATTATAACATGTCTATATGAATAAAATAATTATAATCATTGAAAAATAAGGAATAGCTATCTTCAACACATTGTCATTATATTACTAACCATACTTTGCCTTCTAATATCATCAATTGTTTGTTTTGGATTAGACACAGAAAATGTTGTGTTAGGTGCCTAGAAAAATAAAAAAAAAAGAAGTCATCTCTAAATCAATGCTTTGTATAATATGATTTTAACTAGTTAATTACCATAGGTTTATATTGACCACCTAAAATAAAATTAGGAGCACTATTAGAGCGCATCAACTTCTCTCGTCTTTTTTTTAATCTATTTCTATCAGCAAACATTTTTTCTGTTTGTTGCCTTTTTTTAAAAATTTCATCTTCTGCTAAGCCTAAATCTGACATGATCAATTGAACTCTGTCCAAGTTCACATCTCCATTTAAGGTTAAAAATCCCTAAAAACATATAAAAACAATTATTATTCTAAGATAGTGACACAATTTAACAAGAAAAAAAACTATTCTTACCCCAGTTTTATAAACTGTCTTTTTATAAAGAGCAATTAGTCTATCAATTGCGTTTTCTCGTATTTCTAAGGATGGTAGATGTGGTAAAAAGTCATTACCCACAAAAAAACACATAAAAACCCAATCATCTAAAGCTCTTTCAAATTCATATTTAAATGGTAAATTAGGCATTTCTAACTCTCTTTCTAAATATTCTCGTAAGACATTTAAACGGACAAAAATGAATTGATCATTACTAGGACAAATCATACTAGAACCATCATTAAAAACATCTTTTTCTAAACCTTGACAATCTTTCATCTCATGACCTATTAAATTTTATAAAAAAAATGTTAAAACAAGTATAATATTTAAGTATACAATTTATAATGATACTATATCATTGTATAATTCAAGTTAAAATTTATGAATAATAATTTTTGTATTAGTCCAATACTATTTTTGGTTTGACAGAGAAACTCTCCAAAAGTTTTTTGTCATATTTCTTATTTAATATTTTAATTACCACAATTTAAGGAATAAGATTATTTTATTTAATATAAAAGAGCAATGAACTAATTTTTATGTCGACCCTCCCAAAAAAAAATTATAATAACAATAAAAATTAGATTATTTATTTATTCTGGAAACATTATTTTTCTAATCCAATATAATATTACCATTAAAATATTACATATTTTCTATAATTTACACAAAAAAATTTACTTTATAAAAATTAAATACTTGAATTATTAAATAATAATTTAAATTGATTAAATTTGAACTTGCCCATTTGTCCACACATGTCACAAGGTCTTGGCTGATTTGGCTTAAATTCTTCACGGATAATTGTAAAATTTGGCTCATGTGTTGCCAATCCCAACATTATAAGATCAGCATCGGACCCACAGAGTACATGCTGAGTATTAGGATCATGATTGGGTTGTGCTTAAAATTAAAAAAATTAATATCTATTTTAAGCACAAAATACCTTAATAATGTTAATAATGCTAAAATACCTCGCTGTTTTCTTATGAAATCCATTATTTTATGTTCTCCTTCACCAGGAACATTTGCATCAGACAATATTACCTTAATGCCTTTCCATCCAGGATCATTGTTCAATCGTTCATGAATATAATAATGTAAGCATTTAGATAAATTATCCATAAATGGTGTACCCTATGATAAATATTATAAATTATAAATAACACATTAATAATGATATAATATATTCAAATTAAATATAATTATCAGTTACAGGAGTAATACAATTGCTATCAAAATGTTCTCCTTTTGGTTTCTCTGGTGGTAGTATAGCACCAGCTTTTATTAAATTTTCCCTCACTCTGGCTAATTCTTCAGCTTTTTCAATAGTTTCTTTAGTAGCTCTAAAACGTCTAGATCTTTGTTGATTCATTTTTGCCCTTGGTGCCTATAAAACATCATTTTAATAGTAATAAAATAAATTCAACAAAATGTGCAATATATATTTTAAATTATAAATTAAACTTAAATATAATAAAAAAACTGGAAGTCCATTCATTATATATTATAATATATCAATCTACATCAGAACTAGATTAAGTTATTCACAGACTTTAGGCACTGACTGTAAATAAAATATTATAAAATAATTATATTAGTCATAATTTACAACTTCTATAGCGTCTGATATTACATAAGATTCTACTACCAATTATAATAGGAAAACTAAACAATTCTACTTACCACACCATCAATAGCCATGTATAATATTTTTCTAGGTCTGACAATTCTGAATAAGCGATCAATACATTCAAAAATAGCAATCATCATTTCATCTTCATTTTTAGGTGCTGGCCTAATATTAAAAAATAATAATTTAGATTTATGTAAAACTAAATTCTAAAAACTATTTTACTTATTTTCTGGGTGAGAACATGGATGAATTATTCCATTCATATCTAAATATAAATTATCAAATTCAACTCCATTTGGATTTGATTCAGATGCATCAATAGGAATCTTCTCGCCATTTACATCAGTCGACTAAATAACAAAATTATAAGGTTTAAAAATTACAGATAAAAATGTATAACTTTTGGTTGACTTTACTTGTTGTTCAATACAATTAACAATAACTGATGGATATTTTCTAGTAAGCCATCTGAAAAATGCTGGAACACCCATAGTAAGTATTGAGCTAAAGAAATAAAATTTAATTTAATATCTATTAAATTAATATTAACATTCATCAAAGCCGTTAAGTGTTCGTTCGGCGTCAAAATAAGTTTTGTAGCAACTTTATCACTTAATTACTTAACACGATGTGTTCTACTTGTCGCCTGGGATATAAAACCATACTATCATAAACATTTCTTGATAGCGATAACAATATCATAAATATATTATATTAACAAATTCAATTACGGTATCACCAAACAAAATTAAAAAACCATACCTTTATACTATAAAGGTATTTTTATACACTATATAAAATGGCATTTATATTCTAAATAAATATTATGAAAATATAAGTAATATTAATAAATATTCACAATTATTAATATTATATAAATTATATGTATGTAGTATTTATATAAAAAATATATATGTACATATATTTTTTTGGGTTATAGAGATTGCCACGAACTGATAATGCTCCGACATTCATATACTCCGATATTGTAAAAAAATCCTCCGAATACAATTACTGCGAATACCTGGTTACAAAAATTTGGATTTTACTACGATGATGATTACTCCGAATAGGACAATTAATTGATTGCTCCGAATATCGATTAAAAAATTATGAAATTTCGGATTTTCGTAGCAATATATTATCTGATAGAAAAATATAACCCTTATCGCTAATTAGTACATACGTATTAATTAATATAATAAAAAAACGTTATAATTGATTACTGTCTATTAACGAATAATTATAACAATAAAGACTCTCGAATTGCATCCGACTTTCGATACAATAGGTATATTAAGGTAAGGAAGGAGGCTTTAAACTAAAACAACCCCAGTTATATAATCGATGTAAGCCCTTAAAAAGTTTTTTTTTTTTTGGAGGGGAAAAAGAGTGATTCCAAATTATTTTTTTTGTCTCTCCTTATTAGTACCCATTATTATAACATTTAATTAGTTGTAGTATTTTCATTTACTAATTGGTAAAAAAAAATATAGGTGTGCATGTCACTGATGGATAGGATTCGTCATTAAACAGATGTGTTTATAAAAGTATTCGGTATCCCATTCTCTAAAATTGTCATTTCAATTAGTCTCGTATAAAATCAAACAAAAATATGATTTAATATCATTTCATTGTTTAAAGGTGAATAACGAAATTAATTAAGTCCAATTTGGATTCGATCTTTTGATTGGCCCCAATCTGAAGAGATTTGAGGGGGCTTAGTTTCCTAAATTTCTGCCATAAAATATATCGTGAAAATGAATTAATTTGTATTTCTTGTTGTATAGAAATATTTTTCTGATAAGGTAAAAAATTATGTAAATTAGAGTTCCCAAATATTTTGTCGCTCTAGTCAATTTAAGTAAACACAAGACAGTTATAAGTTAACAGTCGATAATAATTTATGATTAATCATAAATTTACTTAACTCTTCTGTTAATATAATTAGTTTTAAACTTAACTAAGTCGAGTTGAAAATATGCAGTCGATTCAGTGAAAAATGGTTGAGTTTTTTTTCATTTGTATGAGCATTACCTGAAGTTTTGTCAGCTTTTTATACGATAAATAAAATAAAAAAATATAGTGAACGTGTTTTATTTTTTAGGAATATGTTTACATATTTTAAAAAGTACATATAAAATGAATTAAAATTTTTAAAAAAACTTTATTTTGTATTTATAGAACATGTATTTATGTATTGTTATATATTTGTATTTGCAGAATATACGTAAAGCTGACGAGATGAAAACATTGGCAAAATAATCATCTTTTCGCAGTGTCGGCCTGGCTCAGGACGCCCTCATTAAATTTGAATTTTTTTTTCTCGCTAGACCACTGAGAAAATTATCTGAAAGGTCATTAAGGAAAATTGCCTCCGGGATCATCTCCAAGGTTCCAGACCGACACTATTTCCTAATTAAGATCGATTAGATCTGACCAAAGCTGAAAGTCATTCAAACGAGAATCATCTTTGAACAAAAACAATAAACGAAAACACTGTAAAAAAAAATTTTTTAATTTTGACTATTTTCTTATTATACCTTACTATACAGGGTGATTTTTTTATTATAACCCACTCAATTACTTGCAGAATAATAATAATTTAAACATTTTTTTTTATTATTATCTTTAGTTACACAGTATTCTTGAATTTTTAACTATGTAATACTTCTTAAGTTCATCCCTTAGACCTTGGAGGGGGGTCAACTTTGTTTTTTTAAATGGTAATACATATTTTTAATTTAATAAAATGTTTGAGTTTTTAATTTAATAGTAAATGGCATTTGAATTTTTAATATAACTTTATTAGCTTATTAGATATAAACATTTAAAGTTTCAAAATTTTGA